GATGCCTTGTTATGCATGGTGAAAAGGGACCAGAAAACATCATGAGGATAGATGCCAAAAAGGATTTGGGCATCTGGGTCTCCTCGTACTTGTCCTTCTCACTGCACCATGAGAAATCGGCCCAAAATGCATTCGCCATTTTACGGATGACCCGACGCACCTTCTCCTGTATTACTCGCATGGACTTCCAAATACTCTATGGGGCCTACGTCAGACCGCTCCTGGAATACGCCAACAAAGTTGTCTACTCAGGACGCACGAGAGATGTCACCCTCATTGAGCGTGTCCAGCGGGCCGCTACGAGGATGTTTGCCGGCCTCAAATTCGTGGACTACGAAACGCGTCTCTTGATGTTTGGTCTCTTTCCCCTGGAGTACCATCGCCTCCGAGGGGACCTAATTCTTACTTACGCTCTGTTTGAACAAAGCTTGGCAAACAGGTTTTTTACCGTTGAACCAGCAAACGCCCGGCGGGTACATAGTAAAAAAATTTTCAAGCTCAAAGCACACCCATTCATTGGACGAAATTTTTTCTCATTTCGGGTAGTAGCTGCGTGGACTGACCTTCCTCCGACGGTTGTCCACGCTCCTTTTAGAACCCAGTTTAAGGCACTATTAGACACTTATTTATGCGAATCCTTGCGCTGGCAAGCATACTGCCCCGCGCTGAGAACATAAAGAGCAGTACCATACCCTTTTTCGCTCGTGCCTTTCAGGTGAACGACAGCCACTGACCGACAAGAACAAAACTGACGCGGGAAACTTGGGCAAAAGCGTCGATCCTGTGTATCAGTCCGTGAATCCGTGAATATTATCGTCAGTGTTAGGTAGTTGAATAATGTTATCTATCTGGGTATAGTAAACAAAACATCTTTCGAGCCGTCAAGTAGGAAACAAAATTATGTCTAGACCTGGACAGCTACTAGGAGTTTATAGAGCTGCAGGCCTTCTTCGATTAAAGTTGGGCGCCGTGATGTCTGACTTATATAAGATGAATTTGGTAGTCTTGGGTACTGGACCTGTAAATGGCACGTGAGGAAACAGCGACCAAATTGGGCGCATTATTAACCTGAAAAGTGCCAATAAACAATGCACAAACGGTTACCAGACTAGGAAGATCGGTGCTGGAAAGACCCATCTAAGTATATGTAACACCGCTGGAGGATTACGGGAGGAGCACCAGGCGGTGCTGGTTGGGCACGCATGTGTTGTGTTTTGTGTGTTTCTTTTGATTTCATTATAACATTACGTATTTTGTCGATCGTATAACCGGTTTTTCTTTGGACGCGAAAATCTACAGAAACGCGCGCCAGCAGAATTTAACGCGATGCAAACGTGTTCTCGTGCTCCGACTTTCTCTTCTGATTTCGCCCGCGCTTATGGCGGTCATTCGCGAGCTTTATGTGCTAACCCTTGTAGCAGAACGTTTTAGACTATCTTCAGAATCTATTATATGTGGGAACTTTTCAGAAGACTCCAGGAAATCCATGACTGAACTGTTGTTTGTTGGTTGACCTGGGCCAACGACGAACTATTTTAGAGAGAACAATTCTGAGTGAGTCTGTTCCACCTAACGTCCTTATTATTGTATACACAATCTAATGATATTATTTTTATCTCTTTGCCACGCGCTCCTGATACAGTAGCCCTTTGGGGAGCCAAACAACTACACACGGCCCATGAGCATAGGAGAACTGATGGTAAACACTCCTGTGTGACGACCAAATTGTATGGCGATAAGGGTACAGTTGGCAAGGTTTATGAAAGTATGGTATACTAGTGAAAATACTGGAAGAACACCCGTAGATACTGGGAATGAATCGGTTGTGGACAAGCATGTGTCCTCCTTTGCCATACAAGTGCCTAATATAAGACAAATAGCGGCACGCTGATGCTCATTATCTGTTTATATGAGTATCTCAGGGACCCATACTGCAGCGGGGCTGGAAATGAGTCATACACTCAACGATATCATCACTCAAGACAAACTAAAAGTTAATTAAAGTTAATTTTAATTAGCTTCAATTAATTTAACTTAATTAATTTAATTTAATTGACTTTAATCAATTAATTAATTAAGCCGTGTGATTACTCGGCCGTGAGAAGTGATGTATCATCCGTTATGTTGACAATGAAATGACCCACGTTTATTATGCCCCCATTTGTAACCCCCGCCCCATTTTTGTGTTTAGTGTGTATATATGAACTGACGTTTGTTTGTCCTTACCACTTCACCCATTTGGCCTTGAGGTCATCCAGCCATTTGCATCTGACTTTGCACGTGTGACTGTCGCACGTTGGAGCCTGTTTGCTCCCTTGCTTTGCACTTTTGAAGTCCAAGCGGACTGTTTGTTTTGGACGCGTATCTACTGTCGAGGTTTGTACAAATTGTGAATTTCTCTTACCCTAATAGTACCGTATAGAAACCCAGCTCCGACTTTGTTTTGCCTACCCGGAGGTTCTGGTATTACGCGTCACTCGAAGATACCGTTCGACCGTTACATTGTGGTTGTGTTCGATAAAATCAGAGGTGACTGCCAGTTGGTTCCCTTGCCTCCGTAGACAAAACCGCACTGCACAGCTGGTGCTTCGCGTGCTTTTTTACTAGAAAACACGCTCGCCTTACTGGCTTCTTCGGGTTCCTTGGCTTTTCGTGGATCATGGAAGTCGTCTGCCTCATTTGCAATACACCCATTCGTAACGCAGAACGGCGATGGTGCTTGGATAGCTGGATGAACGCGAAAATGCCGTATGGTTACCCTTCATGTGTTGAATTGAGGCCTTGTAAAAGGCCGTGAAGAATGAAAACGATACAGCCACAAATTCCTCAACAAACTCTTGTGAAGCCACTTTCGAAGCCG